CCACGTCTGTCCCTGCAGCACACCACGTCTATGTTGATGGTTCTGTGCAAGCAGATGGGAGGCCGGTATGTGCTGTGTTTTCCCCCACCATGGAGCCGCCTGTGCTGGCTGATTCATGGATTGGCCGTAGACTACCCACCTCGTCGAGCTCCACCTACTGTGAACTGAATGCCATCTTGGATGCCGTGACTCTCCTTGTTCGACGACGAGTGAATGGGGTAATAATTTGTGACTCCCAATCGGCCCTACAAGCCCTATCCTCGCCAAGACCCATCTGTGGCCGTGCTGTGGGAGATATACTATGTCGCCTCGCGGCCGCTCAGGATGCTTCTCTTGTTGTGTCGTTTGTATGGACACCCTCTCACATTGGGCTGACTGGCAACGTCACAGCTGATCGTCTTGCCAAGGCGGCCTGTATGCTGGATGGGCATGCTGTGGACGCTGAGCCCTCCCTCCGATGCCTACGTAACATCATCTACTCAGCTGGGTTTGCCATGACGGTCCAGCGCAGAGACACGGAGAGGGCCAACAGTGTGTCCATACAGCACCATGATCACTTTCTTCACAGTCGCTACAAGTATCGCAGACGCGGGTTAATGGTGCGGAAAAACAACTTAGTTAGTGCTCGGCTCAGAATGGGGTATCGGCCTTTATGGCAGGTCTCCCAGACTTTAGATATGCCACAGTACACCTCCTGTAAATTATGCGATCGTCCTAATGCTAACACTCTTGACCACTATTGTCTTCAGTGCCCCACAGTGAGAGATGTTTTACCACGAGGTCAGAACTTAATACAGATCTGCTCATTTTTACTTAATGATGACAACCTTGATGTTATTCTTGCTCATTATCCTCAATTTGGTGGCCATTAATTATATTGAATTATACATATATTTTCTGTATGTTGCTGTATAATTCTGTTTGTGTATTCTGTGTTTCTCTGAGCTTTACTTTTGTATATAATGTACTCTGTGCTGCCATACTGTGAGTTGTGTGTTAGTATGCAGCAATGTTTTATCAATGTGTACACCTCCCTGTAAACTATGTTCTATTCTTGGTTTTGTATCCATTTGAAGCATTATTTGTATGAATTCATGTAATGTCTGACGCCTTGGCGCAATAAATTAATAAAATAAAATAATCTCTCTCTCTCTCTCTCTCTCTCTCTCTCTCTCTCTCTCTCTCTCTCTCTCTCTCTCTCTCTCTCTCTCTCTCTCTCTCTATATATATATATATATATATATATATATATATATATATATATATATATATATATATATATATATATATATATAATATGAATCTTTGTTTACCCCGACCGGGACTTGAACCTAGGAATTATAATTACTAAGTTAAGGCGCTACCAACTACACCACAGAAGGTTAAAAGGAATCAGACCTTATAGCTTATATCTGCTATACTGAGGAATGAACGCATTCTATCTGAATGCCACTATGTTCATATTACAGATTCCCCAACCTCACTCTTGGCTTCATTTTCGCATTTACTTCAACTTCCAATCTCATTCGGGTCCAACAATAACCAAAGAAGCAGATTACATTTGTGAAAATTGAATCATTATTTACCCCGACCGGGACTTGAACCTAGGACTTATAATTACTAAGTCAAGGCACTACCAACAAGGAATGAGACAAGGAATCAGACCTAATAGCTTATATCTGCTATACTTAGGAATGAACGCATTCTATCTGAATGCCACTATGTTCATATTACAGATTCCCCAACCTCACTCGTGGATTCATTTTCGTATTTAATTCAACTCCCAATCTCATTCGGGACCAAGAATAACCAGATAAGCACATTTCAAATGTGAAAACATGAATCCATTTTTACCCCAACCGGGACTTGAACCTAGGACTTATAATTACTAAGTCAAGGTGCTACCAACTACACCACAGAAGGTTAAATGGATTCAGACCTTATAGCTTATATCTGCTATACTTAGGAATATCTGAAGGCCACTCTGTTCATATTACAGATCTGAAGGCCACTCTGTTCATATTACAGATTCCCCAACCTCACTCGTGGCTTCATTTTCGCATCTAATCAACTCCCACTCTCATTCGGGCCCTACTATAACCAAAGAAGCAGATTACATATGTGAAAACATGAATCATTGCTTACCCCAACCGGGACTTGAACCTAGGACTTATAATTACTAAGTCAAGGGACTACCAACAAGGAATCAGACGAGGAATCAGACCTAATAGATTATATCTGCTATACTTAGGAATGAACGCATTCTATCTGAATGCCACTATGTTCATATTACAGATTCCCCAACCTCACTCGTGGATTCATTTTCGCATTTAATTCAACTCCCAATCTCATTCGGGCCCAACAATAACCAAATAAGCACATTACATATGTTAGAACATGAATAATTTTTTACCCCGACCGGGACTTGAACCTAGGACTTATAATTACTAAGTCAACGTGCTACCAACAACACCACAGAAGGTTAAATGGAATCAGACCTTATAGCTTATATCTGCTATATTTAGGAAGGAGCGCATTCTATCTGATTGCCACTATGTTGATATTACAGATTCCCCAACCTCACTCGTGGCTTCACTTTCGCATTTAATTCAACTCCCAATCTCATTCGGGCCCAACAATAACCAAATAAGCACATTACATATGTGAAAGCATGAATCATTTTTTACCCCAACCGGGACTTGAACCTAGGACTTATAATTACTAAGTCAACGTGCTACCAACTACACCACAGAGGGTTAAATGGAATCAGACCTTATAGCTTATATCTGCTATATTTAGGAAGGAGCGCATTCTATCTGATTGCCACTATGTTCATATTACAGATTCCCCAACCTCACTCGTGGTTTCACTTTCGCATTTAATTCAACTCCCAATCTCATTCAGGCCCAACAATAACCAAATAAGCACATTACATATGTGAAAGCATGAATCATTTTTTACCCCGACCGGGACTTGAACCTAGGACTTAGAATTACTAAGTCAAGATGCTACCAACTACACCACAGAAGGTTAAAAGGAATCAGACCTTATAGCTTATATCTGCTATACTTAGGAATGAACGCATACTATCTGAATGCCACTATGTTCATATTACAGATTTCCCAACCTCACTCATGGCTTCATTTTCGCATTTAATTCAACTCCCAATCTCATTCGGGCCCAACAATAACCAAAGAAGCACATTACATTTGTGAAAACATGAATCATTTTTTACACCGACTGGGACTTGAACCTAGGACTTATAATTACTAAGTCAAGATGCTACCAACTACACCACAGAAGGTTAAAAGGAATCAGACCTTATAGCTTATATCTGCTATACTTAGGAATATCTGAAGGCCACTCTGTTCATATTATAGATTCCCCAACCTCACTCGTGGCTTCATTTTTGCATCTAATTCAACTCCCAATCTGATTCGGGCCCTATAATAACCAAAGAAGCAGATTACATATGTGAAAACATGAATCATTGTTTACCCCGACCGGGACTTGAACTTAGGACTTATAATTACTAAGTCAAGGCACTACCAACAAGGAATCATACCTAATAGCTTATATCTGCTATACTTAGGAATGAACGCATTCTATCTGAATGCCACTATGTTTATATTACAGATTCCCCAACCTCACTCGTGGCTTCATTTTCGCATTTAATTCAATTCCCAATCTCATTCGGGCCCAACAGCAACCAAATAAGCACATTACATATTTTAAAACATGAATCATTTTTTTACCCCGACAGGGACTTGAACCTAGGACTTATAATTACTAAGTCAAGGCGCTACCAACTACACCAAAGACGGTTAAAAGGAATCAGACCTTATAGTTTATACCTGCTATATATAGGAATGAGCGCATTCTATCTGATTGCCACTATGTTCATATTACAGATTCCCCAACCTCACTCGTGGCTTCATTTTCGCATTTAATTCAATTCCCAATCTCATTCGGGCCCAACAGCAACCAAATAAGCACATTACATATTTTAAAACATGAATCATTTTTTTACCCCGACAGGGACTTGAACCTAGGACTTATAATTACTAAGTCAAGGCGCTACCAACTACACCAAAGAAGGTTAAAAGGAATCAGACCTTATAGTTTATACCTGCTATATATAGGAATGAGCGCATTCTATCTGATTGCCACTATGTTCATATTACAGATTCCCCAACCTCACTCGTGGCTTCATTTTCGCATTTAATTCAACTCCCAATCTCATTTGAGCCCAACAATAACCAAATAAGGACATTACATATGTGAAAACATGAATCATTTTTTACCCCGACTGGGACTTGAACCTAGGACTTAAATTACTAAGTCAAGGTGCTACCAACTACACCACAGAAGGTTAAATGGAATCAGACCTTATAGCTTATATCTGCTATACTTAGGAATGAACGCATTCTATCTGAATGCCACTATGTTCATATTACAGATTCCCCAACCTCACTCGTGGCTTCATTTTCGCATTTAATTCAACTCCCAATCTCATTTGGGCCCAACAATAACCAAATAAGCACATTACATATGTGAAAACATGAATCAATTTTAACCCCGACCGGGACTTGAACCTAGGACTTATAATTACTAAGTCAAGGTGCTACCAACTACACCACAGAAGGTTAAAAGGAATCAGACCTTATAGCTTATACCTGCTATACTTTGGAATGAGCGCATTCTATCTGATTGCCACTATGTTCATATTACAGATTCCCCAACCTTACTCGTGGCTTCATATTCGCATTTAATTCAACTCCCAATCTCATTCGGGCTCAACAATAACCAAATAAGCACATTACATATGTGAAAACATGAATCATATTTTACCCCGACCGGGACTTGAACCTAGGACTTATAATTACTAAGTCAAGACGCTACCAACTACACCACAGAGGGTTAAATGGAATCAGACCTTATAGCTTATATCTGCTATACTTAGGAATGAACAAATTCTATCTGAATGCCACTATGTTCATATTACAGATTCCCCAACCTCATTCGTGGATTCATTTTCACATTTAATTCAACTCCCAATCTCATTTGGGCCCAACAATAATCAAATAAGCACATTACATATGTGAAAACATGAATCATATTTTACCCCGACCGGGACTTGAACCTAGGACTTATAATTACTAAGTCAAGGTGCTACCAACTACACCACAGAAGGTTAAAAGGAATCAGACCTTATAGCTTATACCTGCTATACTTAGGAATGAGCGCATTCTATCTGATTGCCACTATGTTCATATTACAGATTCCCAACATTACTCGTGGCTTCATTTTCGCATTTAATTCAACTCCAAATCTCATTCGGGCTCAACAATAACCAAATAAGCAGATTACATATGTGAAAACATGAATCATTTTTTACCCCGACCGGGACTTGAACCTAGGACTTATAATTACTAAGTCAAGGTGCTACCAACTACACCACAGAAGGTTAAATGGAATCAGACCTTATAGCTTATATCTGCTATACTTAGGAATGAACGCATTCTATCTGAATGCCACTATGTTCATATTACAGATTCCCCAACCTCACTCGTGGCTTCATTTTCGCATTTAATTCAACTCCCAATCTCATTTGGGCCCAACAATAACCAAATAAGCACATTACATATGTGAAAACATGAATAATTTTTTACCCCGACCGGGACTTGAACCTAGGACTTATAATTACTAAGTCAAGGTGCTACCAACTACACCACAGAAGGTTAAAAGGAATCAGACCTTATAGCTTATACCTGCTATACTTAGGAATGAGCGCATTCTATCTGATTGCCACTATGTTCATATTACAGATTCCCCAACCTTACTCGTGGCTTCATATTCGCATTTAATTCAACTCCCAATCTCATTCGGGCTCAACAATAACCAAATAAGCACATTACATATGTGAAAACATGAATTCTATTTTACCCCGACCGGGACTTGAACCTAGGACTTATAATTACTAAGTCAAGATGCTACCAACTACACCACAGAGGGTTAAATGGAATCAGACCTTATAGCTTATATCTGCTATACTTAGGAATGAACACATTCTATCTGAATGCCACTATGTTCATATTACAGATTCCCCAACCTCACTCGTGGATTCATTTTCGCATTTAATTCAACTCCCAATCTCATTTGGGCCCAACAATAATCAAATAAGCACATTACATATGTGAAAACATGAATCATTTTTTACCCCGACCGGGACTTGAACCTAGGACTTATAATTACTAAGTCAAGGTGCTACCAACTACACCACAGAAGGTTAAAAGGAATCAGACCTTATAGCTTATACCTGCTATACTTAGGAATGAGCGCATTCTATCTGATTGCCACTATGTTCATATTACAGATTCCCAACATTACTCGTGGCTTCATTTTCGCATTTAATTCAACTCCCAATCTCATTCGGGCTCAACAATAACCAAATAAGCAGATTACATATGTGAAAACATGAATCGTTTTTAACTCCGACCGGGACTTGAACCTAGGACTTAGAATTACTAAGTCAAGAGGCTATTAACTACACCACAGAAGGTTAAATGGAATCAGACCTTATAGCTTATATCTGCTATACTTAGGAATGAACGCATTCTATCTGGATGCCATTATGTTGATATTACAGATTCCCCAACCTCACTCATGGCTTCATTTTCGCATTTAATTCAACTCCCAATCTCATTTGGGCCCAACAATAACCAAATAAGCACATTACATATGTGAAAACATGAATAATTTTTTACCCCGACCGGGACTTGAACCTAGGACTTATAATTACTAAGTTAAGGCGCTACCAAGTACACCACAGTATATATATTTTAGCTAAATGTATTATTGTACAGAGATAGAATTGAACTAGCTCTTTCGTTGACCAGGATGTGAACCTAGTGCTTTTTACACTAATGCAAGCTAAGCATGCATTGATACTGAAACCTTGTCATGACTTATTATTATATATATATATATATATATATATATATATATATATATATATATATATATATATATATATATATATATATATATATATATATATATATATATATATATATATATAATATATATATATATATATATATATATATATATATATATATATATATATATATATATATATATATATATATATATGAGCAAAACTATTTTTGTTCTTATTATTATCATGTTCGTTTTTGTGTTTATACTGTACCTCAGTTTTATCCGTTTTGAGATATATATATATATATATATATATATATATATATATATATATATATATATATATATATATATATATATATATATATATATATATATATATGTTAATGAATAGTATGTTTTAGTATTATTAACGTGTCGTCAGAAAAGTTTAAGCCTTAAAGTGAAATAGAAAAAGACCATGTGGTTTAGGAGAGCCAAATGTGTAATTGATACTCTCCTTTGTGTTTTCTGAGCTGGATGGTGTTGTGACAACTAGATATATTGTCATGTCCTTAGTCCTCACACATATAGGTGCCAAGTGCAGATAGAAGTCAAAGTTGGTCACCCAGTTCCAGATAGATAGATAGATAGATAGATACTTTATTGATCACAAAATACATCGATAAATTATATACATAGCATAGTAGATTAGTTACTCTCTTCAATAATACAAATCTCATATAAAAATTAAAATAAAAAGTTTGAATTGTAGTCCAAAAACTAAACCATTATCAAATATAGATGGCATAACTGGCAACATGGAATGAGCAATTCAATGTAAAAAATAAACATGGTGTCCATACCTTCACCGTTCAATAAAATGCTAAAATATTATGAATTTTCATACATACTGTATCAGGCGTGAATTGATCAGAATGCATTAACTGTTCCAAAGTATCAAAATTATGACTCTGCCTTAGTTGACCGGTGAGCGGACAATATTGAACCACGTGTCGTTCATTCTGTACATCACCACATATACACAAACGTTCCTCTGGCAGCAACCGCACCCGCCCTTGCCTGTTCTACCGCCCTGTCTCACACACC